GTATCATAAAAGATACTAATGTTGCATTAATACTCAAGGCGGACAATTCAATTAAATATAGAAATTGAACTTAAAAGTTCATCTTTCCATTTTTTTGTTTCAAAATAAAAATCTAATAATATATCATTGCAAAGACAATTTTGAAAAAGGGTTCTTTATTGATGTTGAGCCCTTGAATTTTGTAGCAATTGAAAATGTGATAATAAATACAAGAAATTGAAATACTAGGAAACTGAACAAAGTTGGGAACATGCCTAGTTTGACAAGAAAATCAACCTTAATTGGCTAACTAACTGCAAAAGAAGATTATTCCACTTTCATGAAAAATGATGAAAGGCGCCCTGGAAATCCCTTTAGACAACAATATAGATACTCTCTACACCGCCACCAACATAGAAACCACAGGTGGTGCCACAAATTCAAATGCTATATCATATGAATGTGAAAACCTTAAAGATTTTACACACTAATATAGATTTTAAGTCCAAATTCAGCTGAATATACCTTGTGTAAAAATTGAATTTTCTTATAACAAATGCAAGCCAATTTTCTTAAATCTAGAAAAGAACCGAAACCAAAAGGTTAGTTCTAATGCGCATAGATGCATGGGGGGTGAACCCTTTTCACTTTCCTAATAGAAAATTGTACCATGCATGCCACATTCAACGATTTTAACACCAAAAAAGTATTTAGTTTAACTTATAAAAATTAATTCTAATGTATTATAAACTTTTATGAGGCACAAAATGGCTAGTGAATACTTAATTAAAGGCAAAATTAGGTTTCTTTTAATGGTGAAAAGTATGACTTAATAAATTCAAAAGTATGATGCATCTCATGGGGTCTATATGGAGAAAGAACTCCTTAACAAAATAGAGGACATAAAAAAAATGAATAAAACTCTCAATGAGCATGTAAAGAGTATGCTATTGCATGCATGCTTTACAAGGTCTTATGGGAAGACATAGTGAACGCAGCTACATATTTGATTATTCGACTACCAATTATATACACAATTTTGGGGTTCATGAAGATACCTAGAAAATGCAAGGTATGTTTTTCATATTGGAAAATTTTGAATCTTTAATATATATTTATTGTTGTGAGATATGTACTTCCTGGCATAGAAATGAGACGAAAAAGAACACAAGCAAACACAGATCGTTTACGTGGTTCGATCCAACTGGATCTACGTCCACGGAAGGGAATCAATCAAATAGTTCACTAAGACAAAAGAAATGGAGAATACATAGCACATACATAGAGATGAGTCCTCATCTTCCTTCTATGACCTCCTCTCTAACTCTATAGTTATTCTCTCCTCCTTTTTGTGGTAGCTCAAGATATCTTCTCCC